AGCCACCACCACCTACCAACCACCTACCACACCCACCACCACCATCCAATAACACCAACCAAGCACCATCCACCCATCACCAACCACCCATCACCTACCATCCACCACCCACCACCCAGCCACCACCACCCACCAACCACCTACCACCATCCAATAACACCAACCAAGCACCATCCACCCATCACCAACCACCCAATCACCATCTACCACCATCATCCATCTACCACTACCACCTACCACTACCCACCAACCACTCAACCACCACACACCACCACACACCACCCCCACCACTACCCAGTCATCACCCACCATCTACCACCAAGCACCTACTACCACCACTACCACCCATCACCTACTACCACCTACCACCAATCAACCACCACCCATCATCACCCACCACCACCCAACCACCACCCACCACTAACCAACTACCCACTACCACTCAACCACCACCCACCACCACCATCCAGTCACCATCCAACCATCACCACCCATCCCCACCACCCACCACTCCCACCATCTACCACCACCACCCACCACCTACCACCACCATTCACTATCACCCAATCACTACCCACCACCTGCTACTACCTACCACCAACAACCATCACTCATCATCACCTATCACCACCCAATCACCACCGACCACTAACCAACCAACCAACCACCAACACCCAACCACCCCAACAACCGCTCATCACCACCCACCATCAACCAACCACCAACGACCACCTGCCACCACCACCACCGATATCCCTTTTGCCGTGTAAGGTACTATATATCCCTGGTTCCAGTATTGGGATGGGGAGATCTTTGGAGGCTATTCTCCGTCAAGCACACAGTAAGGTTCTGGATGTCAGGACAGTGGTGTTGCCCACGGCCACTGCGACCATGGCTGACCACGGCTGGGAACAGCTGTGCTCACCTTCACTCTCCCTCTGCCGCACCAGCACTGACTTGATGGGTTTCATCAGCACATCCTGCCGTGGGAGACGCTTGAAGCCTGACACCAGGGCCAGCCCATTGGCCTCGGAACCGCCACTTGGGCTCCTGCGCCCATGACTACCAGCCCGGCTCCGGCGGCCGGCCCTTGGCCGGCGGGAGCGCTCACCCCAGGAATGGCCAGAGCCACTGGACGAGTCACCCTCATAGCCCCGGCCGTGGTCAGTATCCTCAAGGCGCCAGGGCCCATCCTCCTCATCTGAGTCATGCTGCCCTGGACTAGAGAGGCCAGGCTTGGTGGCAGGCAGCTGTATCTTCCGGGGCCGCTTCACCGTCTGTCAGGGGAGGCAGAGAGGAGGGACAGTTCAAGGCAGGGGGCCAGGGAAGCTCTGCTCAATCCACAGGTGGCCCTGGGGGACCCCAAACCCCTCTCTGGGCCTCAACATCCAAGCTATAAAAATGGAAACAAGATTCTAGTGGCTCCTCGGAGCACAAGCAGTGGGACCAAGATTAGGGGCTCAGCCTGCATCAGACACTGCCTATGCCCCAGGGCCTTTGCACAGGCTGTTCCCGCCCACCTCCAGGCTCACTCACGATGTTGGCCAACTTGGTGCAAGTCTTGAGTATCTGGATGGCGAAGGTGGAGGTGACACTCTCCATGGAGACCCCATTCACCATGACAATGTGGTCCCCTGTCCTGAGGGAGGAAGGCTGGGTGTGAGGGAGGAGGTACCACAGGGGAGGCCCTCTCACCAGGCCTTCCCTGGGGATCCCTGGAACCTCCAGGTCTACAAGGCCGGGTTCTAATTCACTGGTGTCCCCAGGCTCCTGAGGACATGTATCCCCCTGGGCCTCAGTTTCCTTATCTGTAAAACGGAGCCAATCAAACACCCTCCCAAAATAAAAAAAATAGTTGCCATCAAGTTGACTCCAAGTCCTGGTGACCCCATGTGTGTCAGAGCAGAACTGGGCTCCAGAGTGTTTTCAGGGGCTGACTTCTCAGAAGTCAATCAACAGGCCTTTCTTCCAAGGCATTGGGTGGATTAGAACCTCCAACCTTTTGGTTGGCAGCCAGCCACGTTCCCCATTTTACCACCAAGGGAATAATAGAACAGAAGCTTCAATGACAACTGGTCAGAGCCTGTGGGCAAGTTGCTGCCTCTCTCTGAACCTCAGTTTTTTCATCTGCAAAATGGGTCTAAGTCAATGATTATCAACAGGGGCAACCTGACCCTCAGGGGACACTTGGCAATGTCTGGGGACATTTGTGGTTGTCACACCTGAGGGAGGCTTATTGACATGTAGTAGGTGGAGCCCAGAGATGCTACTCAACACTCTACAGCTCCTAAGTCTCCTGTGGTAGTTAAGTTGTGTGTCAACTTGGCTGGGCCTGGTTTTGAGTGGCTGGGCAGCTGGGTGTAGTTATTCTCGTGATGAGATTGGTAATCAGCTCCATGGTGGACTCTACTGGGGCAGCTGAGTAGCTGCCTCATGGATGTGGTCTGCTTCCAGTATAGAAGGAGAAGCTTTAAGAAGGTCTCTGCAGCTTTTTGGCAGGTGTGGACCCTGCATGTAGCTAAGTCTTCATTCAGCAGCCTACCGTGTTGTCTGCCGATCTTAGGACTGACTGTCCCTGAACTTGAATCAATGGCCTGCCATGGGGTTTGGTAATATTGGGACTGTACTTGTCGACCTTGGGTTTGTCAGCCTCAGCAGTCAGCCGCTGTCTGAGTGAAGAAAACCTCCAGCTTCAGTGAGCTGGGAGCAAGAGGCAGAGCTGAAGCCCAAGGTCAAGGGGCTTTTACCCGACCCCTAGAGCTGGCACTTTTGAATTTGGACTTCTAGCCTCCTAAACTGTAGGAGAGTAAATCCCTGTTTGTTGAAGCCACCCATTTGTGGTATTTTGTTAGAGTGGCCCTAGAGAACCAAAACATTCCTGCTTTTCTCCCCGCCCCCCTTCATTTGCTCTATCTTTGAACCTGGTCCTAGGTTCTGAGCTAGACTCATTCATAACACTTGGCAGCCCCTCAGGTCCCAGAACCATTTTTATCGACATAAGTCCCGGGAGCCTCCCACCCACCCAGGGCTCAGAACCCCTTCTGCCAAAAAGAAGTTTCCAGGACTTCCCATGCCAGGTGGGTCCTAGGGCCAGTGTAACCCCAAGAATTGTTCTCAGCAACAAGGAAGTCTTGTGGGGAGAGTGAGGGCCAAGTCACTGCTACCAACTCCGAGTCCTTTGTTGACAGAGCTGGAAGGTGCCAGGCACATTCCAGTTTCTAAGTTCTGGCCCTCACAGGTTCCGTCTTCTGGCACGCCCTCCCCTGGCAGGAACCCCAGAATGCCTGTACTCACTGCAGCCTGCCCTCAGCCGGCCCCCCAGGTACTACATCCGACACAACCACAGAGCCGCTGGACCTCTCCCGGCCTCCAGAGATGGCCATGCCAAAGCCCCGGCGGGGGTCCTAAGGTGGAAAGGGTCATAGAAAGAGCTCTGGCTTTGCCCCCCAGCACAGATGCCCCCCACCATCTCCCAGGGCTCCCCTCCCAGGAGAGGGAGGCCTCACCTTGTTGAGTGTGGCTGTGTGCTGCTCCCAGATGGTCAACTCTTCCATGTCGGCCACCTGGTTGGAGAAGGACAGGGAAAGTGAAGTGAGGCCCCAGCGGACCCATAAGAGCATTTGAGGGGTGCAGCCCAGGGCAGGGAGCCTGGCTCCAATACTCCCACAGTCAGAGCCTGTGGGCAAGTTGCTGCCTCTCTCTGAACCTCAGTTTTTTCATGTGCAAAATGGGTCTAAGTCAATGATTATCAGCAGGGGCGATCTGACCTTCAGGGGACACTTGGCAATGTCTGGGGACATTTGTGGTTGTCACACCTGAGGGGGGCTTATTGACATCTAGTAGGTGGAGGCCAGAGATGCTACTCAACACCCTACAGTGTACAGGACAGCCTCACCCCAGAGAGTGGTCCAGCCTCAAACAACAACAGTACCAAGGGGAGGAAACCCTGCCTTGATGATTTGAGGGAAAAGTTAAGTTAGGTCCTAGTTCACACTATTGTTAGTGGCTGTCAAGTTGATTCCAACTCATGGTGACCCTGTGAGTGCAGAGTCTATGCTGCATAGACTCAACGCTTTCAAAAGCAGATTGCCAGGCCTTTCTTCCACGGCACCTCTGGGCAGACTTGAACTGGTGACCATTTGACATCTGTAGATTTCATAATCTGCTCACTGTCTGTCTCCCCCTCTAGAATGGCAGCTCAGGAGGGCCAGGATTTTTGTGACTCATTCACAGCCGAGTGCCTAGAACAACCAATATCCGCTGAATGAATGAATGAAGTGCTGCCTTTGTGCCAGGCACTTCAGACGCACAATCTCATGTAATGCGCTCACTGGAAACGGCATTCTTTTACCGCCACCTTGTGGTTAGCTGTCAGTCAGCTCCTGACTGGTGACCACCCCACGCAAAACGGAAGGCAACAACTGCCCGGCCCCGTGCCATCTCCACGATCTGTTCCGGAGCAGATTGGGATCAGGACCTTGTGATCCATAGGGCTCTCACTGGCTGATTTTCAGAAGTCAAACCCATCGCCTTCCCTCCTAGTCCGTGTTAGTCTGAAAGCTCGGCTGAAACCGGTTCAGCGCCCCAGCCATACAAGAGCCTCCACTAGCAGATGGGTGGGGGCTGCACCTAGGTGCTCTGGCCAGGCCGTGAACCACACCTCCATGCTGGAGGCCAGGAATTCTACCACTGAACCACCACTGCCCCATATCGCCATGTGACAGGTGGGGAAACTGAGGCAGAGAGGTGACGTCACTTGCCAAGGCAACAGAGCTGGTGGAGGGTGGGGCTAGAGGCGGCAGGGGCAGATCCTACAGCTGCAAGTGGATTGGTGCCTTTGATATAGATGACAGCACCAGGCTCTGGGAGTCTCAGGTGCAGGGCCAAAGTCACGCAGCCTAGAGATACTAGAAGGGGGCGTGGCGCCCGAACCCCAGGCCACGCCCTTTCCCTTCTGCCCGTCTGGTCGGCGCATGCCCGGCTCCCTGCGGGGGGTGGAGGGGTGGTTGGTAGAAGCGCCTGCTCCTCCCCAACCTGTTACCCAGCTTGGCACAGCCAGGAGGGCCATTCCTCCGCTTCAGCGCGCTCTGGGAGCGCTCCAGTGCCTTTTCTTAGAAGCTCCCGGTCTCCCAGGAGCAGCATTCCAGGCATCGTGGGGAGTGGGAAGAGGGAAAAGAAGTGGAGGAGAGAGAAACAGTGTCGAGGGGGGGACCCCACAGGGTTTGTAGGCCCTGCAGTTAGCACAGTTAGCAGGGCGCAGGGCCAGAGCTCAGGACATACCAACGCTCAGAACTGTCTCTGTCCCTTGCTCGCTGTGACAGCAAAGCTCGCAGCCTCAGTTTCCCCATCTATAAAATGGGCACCGTCCGCCCCGCCTTTCAGGGCTGTGGTGCGCGGAAGGAGCATGGAATCCGCGCTTGAAAAGCTGACTGAGGCTCCTGGAGATGGCGGCCATTGTTGTTATAAGTAATAATAATGATTTTTCTTCTCTGCATGTTGTGTGTCCTGGAGTTGAGTCGATTCCTACTCACAGCACCTCTAGAGGGAAGAGTGGAACTGCTCTATATACGGGAGCAGAGCAGAGATGCTGGTGGGTTCAAACCGCTGACATTTCAGTTAGCAGCCCAGCGCTTAACCATTGCGCCACCAGGGCTCCTTATTCCCACTTTACAGAAGTGGAAATGCAGGTTCAGAGGTTCAGTAACTTCCCAGAGGTCACACAGCGCAGAGGTAAACCTAAATTTGCCACCAGCCCACAGCTTTTGCCTTCTGCTTTTTTTTTTTTTTTTTCCTTCTGAGCTTATTTTTCAAAACAATCTTTTTGTAGTTGCTTTGATTCTATATTTGGTGTCATTCAATGACCTTCCCAGAATGTTTCTATGTTAAGAGACAGCCACCAGACAACCAGGGCCCCTGGTGGAGTGGTGCAGGTGGCTGGGGCTTGCCCCAGCTTGTGTGGTCCATCTCCATGGATACCAAAAGCTTTGCCTAAAACCCTCTGGGGCTCCCCAGTCCTCTAGGAATCAAGCTTTAACCCTGCAGCCCACCTTAGTCTTCCTCTGAATCTTTGCTCTGGTTGTTCACTCTGCCTGCAACACCCTTCCAGGGATTTCTGCATGGCTGGCCCCTGCAGCTCAGGTCTTGGCCCAGATGCCACCTCCTCAGAAGGCCCTCCATGACTACCAGACTAACCTGTCCCCTGACACCCACCACTCGCCTTGTTTTATTGGTTTATTTTCACGGCATCTAAACCATCTCAAATTATCCTGTTTCAACAGCAGTTTGGGAGTTTCTGGCCTTTTTTCTTAGGCCGTGAAGGCAGGAACCGTGTGTGTCTGGGCACTCAAGACCCTGCTGATGGGCCACCAGCATCCTCCGGGCGCTCTCACCAGGCCTCCTTCTCAGGTCTTTGTACCTGCTGCACTTTCCAGCAAGCTCCTAGTCATCGTTCACAGCCCCAGCAACGTGGTCTCTTCCTCCGATGTCCACCCACCCACCCTGGGTTCTCCCTCTGGCCCAGCCCTTCATTACGGGGGCCTGGGATGTCCACACCCACCTCCCCCTTCCCTGTTGCTTTTGTAGGTGCCGTTGAGTTGGTTCCAGCTCACCGCGACCCCAAGCACAACAGAGTGAACGCTGCCCGGCCCTGCACCGCTCTCACCTTCCTGCCGTGCTTCAGTGCTTTAGGGTCAGTCCATCTCGTTCAGAGTCCGCCCCTATTTTACTGACCCTCTACTCGACCAACTATAATGCTCTTCTCCAGGGACTGGGCCCTTCCGATAATATGTCCAAAGTACATGAGATGAGTTCTCACCATCCTTGCTTCTAAGAAGCATTCTGGCTGTACTTCTTATAAGACAGGCTTAATCACTTCTTTTTCTGGCAGTCCATGGTATATTCAACATTCTTGGCCAACACCACAATTCAAATGCATCAATTTTTCTTTGTCTTCCTTATTCATGTACAATGCAGCTCTCACATGCATATGAGGGTAGTGGAAATAACATTGTTTGGGTCAGGCGTAAGGAGCTCTGGTGGTGGAGTGGACAAGGCATTTGGCTACTAACCAGAGGGTCAGTGGTTCAAACCCACCAGCCTCTCCACAGAAGGAAGCTGAGACAATCTACTTCCATAAAGATGTACCACCTCGGAAACCCATGGGGGTTGATGAGACCGACTCAGTGGCACATAACAACAACAACAACATCGACTTGATGGCAGTGAGGGTTTTTTTTTTTTTTTTTTGGGTCAGGCGTACTTTAGTCCTCAAAATGACATCTTTGACCTTTAACACATTAAAGAGGTCTTTTGCAACAGATTTCCCCAATGCAATACATTATTTGATTTCTTGACTGCAACTTCTGTGGATCTAAGTAAAATGAAATCCTTGACAACTTCAATATTTTCTGCGTCTATTATGATGTTGCTTGTTGGTCCAGTTCTGAGGATTTTTGTTTTCTTTATGCTGAAGTATAATCTATACCAAAGACTGTAGTGTTTGATCTAGTCTTCTTCAATTTCAGCAAGCAGTGTTGTGTCATCTGCATATCACAGGTTGTTAATGAGTCTTCCTTCAACCTGATGCTGCGTTCTTCTTCATAAAGTCCAGCTTCTTGGATTATTTGCTCAGCATACAGACTGATTAAGTATGGGGAAAGGATACAACCCTGATGCACACTTTCATGTTAAACCATGCAGTATCCCCTTGTTCTGTTCGAATGACAGCCTCCTGGTCTATGTACAGGTTCCTCATGAGCACAATTAAGTGTTCTGGAATTCCCATTCTTCTCAATGTTATCCATAATTTGTTATAACCCACACAGTCGGAAGCCTGTGCATAGTCAATAAAACACAGGTAAACATCTTTCTTATATTCTTTGCTTTCAGCCAAGATCCATTTGACATCAGCAATGATATCACTTTTTCATGCTTTTTTCTCAAGCCAGCTTGCATTTCTGGCAGTTTCAGGTCAATGTACTGCTGTAAACATTTTTGAGTTATCTCAGCAAAATTTTACTTGCGTGTAATATTAATATTGTTAGACAGTTTCTGCATTCTGTTGGATCACCTTTCTTCAGAATGGGCACAAATACGGATCACCTCCAGGCAGTTAAAAGGAGCACTGGTGGTGTAGTGTGTAAGACATTTGGCTGCTAACCAGAATGTCAGCAGTTCAAACCCACCTTCTGCTCTGTTGAAGGACAATGAGACAGTCTACTTCCACAAAGATTTACAGCCTTGGAAACCCAATGGGGGTTGCTATGAGTCAGAGTCGACTCAATCGCAGTGGGTTGGGTTGGGTTGGGTTTGGTCTAGTCAATTGGCCAGGTAGCTTTCTTCCAAATTTCTTGGTATAGCCAAGTGAGCACC